ACAAATCTGTTGCTGAGGATCTTCTGCCACATATTCAATTGTTCTTGTAGAGAAAGAATCAACACAAACAAAAGCACTGGTCAAGGCTGAGAAAATCTATTCCATATTAGGAAAGAATGAAATTCTGTCATTGGTACACAAGTGGACTTAAATTGGAAAAGAAATTTCCATGTCCATCTGAGCTTTACCGTTGCTTTGTTGGCTATTTGTAATAATATTGAAGAAGATTTTTCTGTTGAAATTGTCCTTTTGTTATTGTATCAAAGTAAACTGTCAATTATCTAGCAGTCCTGCATTGTGTTTCTGCTATTAAAGTTTATTTCTCACATAAATAGAGACTTCTCTACCTTTTAGAATTTAAACATTTTCAGGAGTAAATGACTTTGTAAGACTACTCTGTACAAGCCAGTCACTGTAATGTTCAGCATAAGAGCTATTATGAAATTTATTTTAAAAATATAAATTGAGAAGAAAATACCACACTTCAGGCCTAGTGGTCGTTTCACAAATGTAAGGATTGATTTGATGTATTTTATTCAACTATATGTTACCACTGAAAACCATGACAAAACACCAGCCTCACAATGTCCAAAATCAAATTCTTCATATGTCTGTGAACCACACCAAACCTGGTTGTACTCCTGTTGCTTTTATTTCTGCAATGAAATCATAAACTTCCCAGTTATCTGAACTTTAAATTTTGAATTTGTGTTTCAATTACTCCCTTCCCTCTTATCCCTTGAAAAATCTCATCAATTGCAAAGCATGATAGATTAAAATATACAACTTCCAAAATATCTGGGAGATGAAATCCTGCCATTTCCAACATCATTGATGGACCTAGAGGTAATTTTACTCAGTGAAATAAGCCAGACTGAAAAAGACAAAATCTGTATATCACTCACATGCAGTTTATAAAGAAAACAAGCAAACAGATGAACTAAGTAAATAAAAACATTTTTTTTTATTATAAGACTAATTAGTAGTTACCAGAAGGGAATGGGAAGAGGTGTAGGGAAATCAGGAAAAGGGGGACAATGGTATGGTGAAGCAAGAATTTAGACTTTTAGCTTTGAACATTATGTGACATTTCTATGTTGATATTCAAGGATGAACACCTGAAAGTTATATAATACAATGTTAGTTCAATAAGAAAAAAAAATCCAAAAAGAAAAACCTCTGAGATAATTTTATATAACCCTTCTGTTTTATTTTCACTACTGCATCACTTATTTAAACCTTAGTATCTTATCTGGATTGTTATAATAATGTCTAAATTGTCCTATTGCTCCTAGACTCTCTCTATTCAATCCAAACCACACACTATTCACATAAGAAACTTCCTCAAGAATAACTTTAAATAAAGGATTTAAAGCTATTTATTTAAAGGATTTAAAGTTATTTATTTTTTAAAGATTTATTTATTTATGCATACAAGCACTGGGGTACAGGCCAGAGGTGTGGAGGGCAAGAGGATTCACCAGAGACAGAGTGGGGAAAGAACAGACAGACTGACTGAAATACACTGCTGAGGGGAGCAGCGGTCGAGTCAGGAGAGGTCTGCTATGCCATGTGGGTCAGCTCCCTGGCCAGGGATGGCTATGAATAGCTTCATAGGTTGTGTCTTACCACCTTGCACCACCTCTTCCAACGTACTCCCTTTTTTCAATATAAATCATTATTAAAACCTGTTAGCCTGTCCAAAAATGCTTTCAAACTAAGTTTCACTAAATGTTTCCATTCACTGTCTGTTCTTACCAAAATAGACCTGGCTATTAGTCTAACAAGCAGCAAAAACACTTGGACATATTTTTGTTCACATGATCCATATCAATAGGAGGTGATGTTTCCCACTTGAACTGCCATGAAATTTGCTTCTAAGTATTGTTGTATTTTTTGTGTTCTATTTTGCATACTATCAATATAAACACATACACACACACGAACAAACCCAAATACCTATATATAGGTTTAAGCTCTCTTCTCCATAACAGCATTGTAATCTTTGCTCATAAGACTTAATGAGAGGTCACCAGGCTTAGGACAAGATTAGGTAGAGGCCTGCTCTACCTAGCTAAGGTTCTGTGGAAATTCTTTAATTTCCCAAGGCAGAACATTACTTCAGAGCTTTTCTCATGCTACAGTATTCCAAAGAAAAACTTAGTTTTAATGTGTCCTGGTTGATCTTCTTCCATATGACCTTGCTTCAATCACATAAAAAGTAACAGGCAGAACCCAACTCACACCCAAGCTTTTTGTTCCCCAGTATAATGGTATAAGACATAGGCTACTGAGTCATAATCACACCTAACACATGAATTCAAAGAAAGAGATAATTTCATTCCTGGAATATATGACGGGGGATGGTTAGGAAAATACAAAAATCCAAACTGCTACTCTAGATGCCAATATGTTACAAAGTAGCCTTCTTCAAGAAGTTTATGAAACAGAATAATGACAATTTTCACTAAGAAAGCTATGAATATTTCACAACAGCTCCTTTCTATTTGTGCTCTTGAAAGATAAATACTATCCTTCACTTAAAAATCCTTTGTTTAGGAATTTTGCTTCTTTGTTTTCCCATGTGCAGAAATAAGAAGTTTGCTCTTAGTATCCAAAATTTAAAAAAAAAAAATGACATTTCATTTCCCCAGTGATCAACAACTTGTGTCCAAAGCAATGTAAATAAAAGTTGGAACACTCTTGCAGCTTACTGGAGTAGTCACTGCTTCTCCCAACATGAGCTCAGACATAAGCTATTGTCCAGGATCCTCAGTTACCTTCCCCTTCCCTTACCACCCTCTCCACAAACATGTCATAAAAAATATCAACTGTATAACTCAGTAGTGACGCGACAATTAAAATTCCCTACCTTCAGGAAACTGACTGGAATTAGAAACAAACATGAGTGTGAAGATGAGTACCTTCTACATTGATTCATTGCTTTTTCTTTGAAGAATAGATTTATTGGGTGAATAAAGAGGCAACTGCATAGACACAGGTGGGCAGAGCTGCCCAAGCATGGCTTTTAATGTAACAAGAGATCTGACCAGGTTTCTGGGTTTTGTACCATCCTATTTAAAAGAATCAAAGGTTCAGAGAGGTAGGAAGTACTGTATTTGGTAGACTGCATAAGAAAGTGGTAGAAAGAAATCATCTAGAAAAAAAGAGGACAATGATGCTTGAGCCTTGGGAGTCTATAAATAATGAGTCGTTAAACAGAGCAATTTTTCAGTCAGATATACAGTGACACCTTCAGAAAGACAAGACACATAAAAGGATAAACACTATTACCAATGCTCAAAGTTATTGATCAATAAGCAACTATACTGTATGCTGCATTGCCCAGATCCCTTCCTTGGAGTCAAAAACACACTCACTAGCTGGTGAATGAGAAGGCTCAGGTCCGAGTCCCTCTCTAGTAAAATCTCAGACCAAAGAGTTGGATTGCTCAAGGTTTTAACTCCATCAGAAGTGACAGCATCCATTGACAGGTAGATATGGAGAATGAAGATGACATCTTGTCTCAAATGGAGCAGCTCTGAGATTGCTGAGATCTTTAATTTCATTGCAGGTCAGTTTCCCCATTAACCCTTTCCTATTACTTTTACACCCTTAAAAGAGTTTACAAGAATACAACATACCTATTCACGCACATATATTCTTTCTCTGAGTCTATTTTTGAGGAAACTTGGCCTAAAACAATAGCTTTCCTAGCAACAAACTTCTCAAAGGACCAATCTCCTACATATGCATAAAATCACCAAAGAGAGTCTTTGATAAACATTGCTGTATGAATCATTGGAATACTTTTAGCTTCAATTAAAAAAAAAATTGTATCCGGGCTTACTTTTCATAATTTTACTTTGGACACATTTAAAGCCATGCTGCTATTTTTAGAGCCCACTGTTTTAGACAAATATGCATAATTTGGAAAAGATTCAAAGAACAGAAAGTCAAATGATTAAATAATGAGAATAAAATTAATATAGAAAATTCCAGGAACTTTTGACTTTTTGAAAGGAAAAGGAGGGGGCCATTTTAATAACAGCTCACAAATAATGCCTATTTATTCAAGTAAGGAAGGAATAGGAGGACTGTGAGATCAGGCTGGAGAGACAGGCAAGCATGGAATCATCAAAGAGCCTGATTCCCACACCAGTGCGTATTCCATCTACCCACCTCCACAATTGACCCCCTACAATTTATTCTTCTTGGAATATTCAGAGTGATCCTTTAAAAAACATGACAAATGATGTCACTCTTCTCAAATATCTCTTTGTTCTCCACTGCACCTAGAATAAAGTTCTAAGTCCTTATCATGACCTATAAATGCTCTGAGATCAGGCCCTGGCTGGGGAACATTCAAAAACTGTGAGCTGAGGCATGCACACCTCAGCCCCAACATAGCCACCTTACCTTGAAGCCTCTGGGTGCTGGGGGGATCTGGTTATACTCCTGACTGGGCTGGCTAATCACTGTTCTTCCCACAGTCACCACAAAACCTTTTGCCAACTTCATTCACATCCTTGCTCAATTCCTCCTCAGAAAAGACTTCAAGTAGCACTCCTTATTATCTGTTGTTCTTATCCTGCTTTATAATTCCTCAGAAAACCTATCAGTTCTCTAATAAATTCAGAATATTATGGCTTGATATTCTAATATGCATTTCTATATATTATCATAGATTACATACATGTGTATTACATACATGTGTACATATAGCGATTGAAATTTAAATGTATTTCCTTAGACTATGGTACCCACACCAAAAATTCCATGAAGATAGGGTGTCTGACTCAGGTAACTGCTCTATCCCCAATGTCTAGAAAAACATGACAGCATCGGTAGATACTCAATAATTGGTAGCTGGATGAATGCATGAATGCTATCTCTGTACTCTGTACAATTATTTGCTATACCAACTTTAAGTTTCCAAAATATAATTAAGCCAAACTATTTTTATTTACTCATGTTGAGTGGAGCCTGGTATCTGTCTCCCTTCTCCTGGAGGTAGTAGTATTTGGTAGTTGCATAGTGGTTCCTACAGAGCCAGCTTTCATTTTTCAGTCCCTGGAACAGAATTAGAATAGTAGGAGTAAGATATGAATACAATTTTTGGCATGTGAAAACATGATTATCGCAGAAAGATTAAGATGAATGGGAATTTGAAAATGAAAACCCCAGAGTGGAAAGAAAATGTCAAGTAAATGAATTAACAGAAATAAATGTATTGCTTTCATCAAGTTTAAATGTTTTAAAACACATATTTTAATATTAGTTTATTCCCAGTGTTTTGTTTTCTCAGTATGTGGTTCAAGAATATATAATGCCTTCAATAAAACAGAGCCCTTAGTGATGAGGCAAGGAGAACTATTATTCTCAGATTTTTCTCATTTGATAATTCTTTTCACTAGCTCCTAAATATTATCCTAAAACAAAAACAAGAAGCACCTGCTGTATTATACACAATTTTCAATATTTTCATCTGTTGATTTAGCATAAAAGAAAGAAATCAAGCAAATTATTAGCCCACCAGGCAAATGTGAGAACAGATTTAAGGGATGTGAATATTTTCATTTCAAAATAATTTGGTTTCTTTTTTTTTTTTTTTAATTTTTAATTTCTTTTTATTTTTACATCATTGTTCATTTTTAAACAATATTTTCTTCCCCCCACCCCCTCAGGTATAGTCCCCATAGAATTTCCTTCACCTATTAATAAACATGGACTACCAATTTTTTTTGATTACCATTTACAATTTTATCATTGCCTTTAATAATAGTTATTAAAGGAAATCTCTGAATAGTAGTAGGCACTGAAATGTACACACACATCCATGCACACACTCACATAATATGATACTGCATATTCTAAGAGATTCAAGTTTCATTATAATCTCTGTACTGCCATTCTCTTAAATCCTGAATTGCCTTCTTTAATCCTTTCACGTTACTATTTAGCATTTCAATTCTCAAGTAGCAAAACTCACTTAAATGAAGATTTATTGACTGATAGTTTATTGGGAAAATGTTCAAACTCTGAAACTTACAAATTTTGAACAGTATCTCTAAATATAATTAGCTATGTAAGCTTTGGGCAAATTATGTCACCTCCATACAATTCCTTTTCTTTACCTGTAAAAGGTCATAATATCCTGAGATAAAACATCAATATCCCAGAAACAAGTCATTAAAATGAAGAGAAATTATTACTGTTTTTTAAATGTCTGGAGATTCATTTTATAAATATATATTATCTCTCCATAGCATAGTAAGATAGAAATAAGGCAATTATTTATTTGAATTATATTGACATATTCAGCATTCATACTGAGTTTCAAAATTTATGACCAGATTTTTTTAGCCATGGATGTTATTTATTCTACTAGCCTAAATTATCAGTAACTCAATTCCCTTGTACAATAGCACCATAAGGTGCTGCGAGTTTGGGTGACCAGTAAAGGGTACTCACTGGAGGAGTAGAAGCAATCATAAGAATGAAGACTGATTTGGGGAGCAGAAACAACTTTTCACTTCCACATATCAATGAGAACAAGTGCAGACTAATTCCATGAGTGTGAAAAGTTGTTTTTGTTTTTTGAGTGTTTTAGTCTAATTTGGGGGGGGTGAATTTTTAATGAAGTACCATTATTTTGTATCCTTGTTAATATTTTGACAGTATAGCATTTCTCCCCTTAGGTGCCACTGCCTAGCTCTCCCACCACCAGAGCACCCTGAGTCCTCTACCATAGTCCATTGGTAGACTATTGGTAGACTATACTCCCTTCCCATGTCCGAATCCCTTCCCCATCTCCTGATATCTCAGTTCTACAGTCAGTTTTTCTCTGTGAAACATCAATAGGTGGGGGAACTTCAGGGGCAGTTGTAAAATCTGCATTTTTACTTGGAAAGTGAATTTACAACATTCAGGGAAATTATGAGCTTGATACTCAGGACTACCAACACTGAGGTCCCAAAGGAGATACAAATTAAATCTTGTCACATTCTGGGGCATGGCTAATAAACTGACTTGATATGAGGTGCCAGAGAGCTAAGTATGCATGTGTATTGATGGAAGAAGTAAACAAATATGCAGTCATTTGGAATCCCAATATTCTGATACCATATTTGAAAACAAAAGAAGCTGTAAAAGTGATTAGCAATTCTGGTGACATTATGGCAAAGGTATACTATGAATGATTCAATAATTCTTGCAGGGTTCTATAGAATATACATCTCATCTCAGTCCATAAGGGATACAACATGCAAGGAATAAAAAAGTTGTGATTGATAGCCAATCCCTTGAAACTATTGGCCCTGGATCATCCATAATACGAAGGCATATTTATTTCTCTGAGAAAAACACCAGCCTGCAAGGAATGAGTGTGGACTTGCTGTCAGTGATGTATGGAAATCAAAAATTGTCTTTTTCCTCTCCAATATTGGTTGGTTCACAGTCCTGTTTAATTTATTCAACAAACATATATTCAGAAAAAGTCTAGGATCAGTCTTTGATTTAAGTGTTTAGTTGCAAATGAGACAGACATATTTTTTGTCAGGGCTTATTGTCTAAAGATAGAGAACATAACATACAAGTAGGTGATCAGACACAAATACAAATGATAACCTGAAAATGATAACATGATAGAATCAAATTAGAAGGTAGATACATAATTAGAAGGGAAGAACACACTTAGATAGCCGAGACAGGGCAGGTCCTCAGAGGACTGGCACCTGAAGGATGTAGAGGCATCAGTCATTCAAAGTGCAAGGAGGAGGTACTGGGCACAGTTCTCAGGAACCAAAGTTTCAGATGCCCTCATGGTTAGAAAACACTTTTATGATGTTCACTAAATCTATACATATCTTCTTGGTGTGTCCAAAATGGTAAAGTTGTTAATATGAACTATCCAACCACTTTAAATCAATGTGCAATAAACACATTATGTCATCATCCCATACTCAAGAGTATCCACCTTAAAATTCAAATTTTCTATGATTCAGGGTTTTAACACCACACACTAAACAAGGCTGAAAACAGAACTCATTTCCAAAGCTGCAGCTTCTATTTTTTAATTAATTAATTTATTTTTTTTATTTTTTTTAAATGTCTGGGAGTTTGTTTTGTTTTGTTTTGTTTTTTAAGATTTATTTATTTATTTATACATGCACTGGGTACAGTCAGAAGCGCAAGAGGGTGAGAGAATTCACCAGAGCCAGAGCAGGGAGCAGAGCAGGCAGAAGGACCGAAGTACACTGCTGAGGGAGCAGAGGGCGGCAGGAGAGGTCTGCGCGCCATGTGGGACCCTCCTCCGGTGGCCGGGGAGCAGCCAGGGATCGAACCCGCGCTGCAGAGGCTGCGGGCAGTCGCAACCCAGCGCTCAACCTCTGCGCCACCGGGGAGGCCCAATTTATTTATTTTTAATGGATGCAATACGAGGGTACCCCATCAGGTATTACTATCATAGTGCACCCACCACCAAATCACGCATATTCCACCACCATAGACTATTGTGCTTCCTTCCCACTTTGTTGTTCTCCCTCGTAGCTGTTCATTCTGTAGTCAGCTACCAAGGGTTAGTTTTTCAACTTGTCTTTATCTTACTATTAATTTAGTTATTTTATATTCCACATATTTTATATTCCATGGCCAGTATTTCTTTCTTCTTCTGCTTTCTTTCACTTAGTATTATTATCCTTTCAAGCTCCATCCATGTTAATACTTGGGTCTGTTTTCACTTGGCTGTTTGGGAGTTTATGAAATATGTGACACATGCAAAATTTTATTTGCATTTTATATTTACATATACAATATGTATTTATAAGTCACTGGTCAGCAAAAAAGAACACTCACATTATTGATGCCTAAGAATGCTATTTCCTGATTTCATCGCCTCCCCGACTCACCATTATTTTTGAATTCTATATTTGTCCCTTCCTGGTTTCTCCTTATTGCTTTTCTACATAGATTAGTATTTTTAAAAATAAAATACTGTTTAGTTTTGCAAGTTTTCAAACCCTGATATATGTAAGTATATAAATTCTTCACGAATTTACTTTTCATTGAATTTCACTCAATATTGTTACTAAGACTGATAGTGTCTATTTCATTTTGATATACTACTTCACTGTATAAGTTTTCTGAAGTGGGTACATCTGTTTTCCCATTAATAGACAGCAGGTGGTTTCTAATTTTTTGTAATTATAAATACTACTACTATGAACATTATCTTTGTGAACTTAAAAAATAGTTTCCATCGGTATATAACTAGCAGTGACATCACTAGGTCATAGTGATATACAAATTGCTATGTATTATTATGTTTTCCAAAAAAATTGTATGATTTTATATTTCACAAGCAGATTCCAAATGTTCTATTTTACATACCTGCCTTTCACCGATTTTTTAGTCTCTGCCAATATGTTATATGTAAGCTGGTATTTCCTTTTAATTTAAATTTGTACTTATCTGATGACTTGAGGTGGAGGGTGTTTTAATTTGCTTTCAGTCATTCACATGTGTTCTATGAACTATCTGATCAGGTCATTTACTGCTTTATTTATTGGATGTATTGGCACTCCCTTTGTGTGTGTGTGTGTTTTTGCTGTTGTTATGGAGAAGCTAAACCAAGTGCTTTGTTTCGTTTTTGTAATTAATTTTTTATTATTTTTTTCTTCCATCATTGTAGACCCCATAGTTTTCCTGTCATCACCATCACCATATTCCCTTGTGCTCTTCGCTCCCAACCTCTCCTTTGCTGTATGCTTCAGTTCTATAGTCAGCTTGCTAGTTTTGACTTGTTCTTGACCTTTCATTTGGTTCTCCATATTCCACATATAAGTGAGACCAAGGAAATAATTAAATTAAAGCAGAGGGCCCCACATGGCACGCAGACCTCTCCTGCCGCCCGCTGCTCCCCTCAGCAGTGTACTTCGGTCCTTCTGCCTGCTCTGCTCCCCGCTCTGGCTCTGGTGATTTCTCTCACCCTCCCGCGCTTCTGACTGTACCCAGTGTATTGTATAAATAAATTAATTAATTAATTAATTAATTAATAGATAGATAGACAGATA